TTCGACTCTCCTGTTTTGACTGACCTTCTCCCGTCTATTTGCTCATTAATTTCTGCAGCTGGGCCAGGTGTCAAGCTGTTTTCATGTTCCCTATCATGGGAACTCTCTGGTAACAATTCAGAAAGCACACCATCATCCCCACACCCCTCAGGGACATTCTCATGGGAAGCTACGCATTGAACAGGGATCTCCTGGTCATTCTCTGCATCAATATCACTGGCCATTGCCATCTTGAAACTCATCTTGCAACTCATTGACATCACTCCCCACATCCAAAGCACCCTGATCCTGAAACACAATCACAAGCTGAGCTCCAACATGAATATAGCAAATGGTTAGGGATACTGGCAATTGCAGTCCAGTAATAGCAAAATGGTCACATTCCACCTTTCAGGAATAATCACACATCACAAAATCAAATAAATGTCCTATCTAGGTTGCTGTGAGGTTTCTAGACTGTCTGGCCATGTTCCAGAACCATCTTCTATGGCAGGCATCCTCTGAGGTTGTGAGGCCATTCCACAGATATGTAAACCCCACTTGCCTAGTTTCCAACAGACCTCACAACCTCTGAGGATGCCTGCCATAGATGTGGGTGAAACGTCAGGAGAGAATGCTTCTGGGACATGGCCAGCAACCTAGTAATTCTGGCCGGGAAAGCCTTTGACAATGTCATACCTGTATGATGGCTAGGAAAATACAGAATTGGAAAGTAATCCACAGTGGTTTTGTACTATGTCTTGTCCAATATTCCCAACAAACTGAACAAAACTTTTTTTGCATTCATGTTTGCTAATTTTTCTTTAGATGCAAAGAAATACACTAACACCGTCGTCTCGTTTTTCTTTTTTCTACTGACATAAGAAAAGAAGCCCTTTTTATTGTTTTTAATGTCCCTGGCAAGTCTGAGCTCGTTTTGTGCTTTAGCCTTGCGGACCTTTTCCCTACAGGTGTTGGCTATTTGTTTGAATTCTTCTTTGGTGATTTCTCCCTTTTTCCACTTCTTGTGCATGTCTCTTTTGTGTTTTACACAGTTAGAAGTTCTTTGGACATCCATTCTGGCTTCTTTGCACTTGTTCTATTTTTTCTTTTTGTTGGCACAGTTTGCAGTTGCGCCTTGAGTATTTCACTCTTGAGAAATTCCCATCCATCCGTAACTCCCTTGTCTTTTAGTATCTGTGTCCACGGAATGCTGCTCAGCGTTTCCTTCATTTTTCGGAAGTCAGCTCTCCTAAAGTCCAAAATGCGGGTTTGACTTGTCTTAGTTTCGGCCTTCCTTTGTACCACAAATTGCAGGAGCACATGGTGGATTTAACCATGGCCATGGCTTAGTCCTAGCCCAAGTTGGACTTTCTGGTTAATCCAAACAACACCAGATCTACCCAATTGTTGAGGAGTAAATGTGACTTGGTATCACTTGAACTACCATGACTCAATGCTATGGAATCCTGGGAGTCATAGTTTGGCACCAATCCTGGGAGAGAAGGCAAAAGACCTTGTGAAACTACAACTCCCAAGGTCGATAGCACGGAGCCATGGCAGTAAAAGTATGGTCAAACTGCACTCATTCTACAGTGCAGATGCATCTCCGGAGATGCAAGCCGAAAATATTGCTAGCCCTGACTTGAGTAGACCCTCTCATACACCAAAAGTGGACAACTTTGCCCTCTTTCATCCTCCCAAAACAAGAAGACACGTGGCATCACTTCCAGTTAGGATTTAGGCTGGTTCTGTTGCTTATTATTGTGTTTTATATAATTGTTGGAGAGGGCAATCTAACTACTTCATTTGGAAGATTTTGGGGTGTGTGTATCTAAGAACAGAGAAATAAAAAAAGTTCACTAAAACTGTTTGGGGTCAGGTTTTCCCCCCTATGTTCAGTTCCCCATATAGAGTCCCTGCTTCTAAGACTCACCTAATAATTCCCAAAATATAGCACCACAAATATATGTCAGAAATATTTTGAAAAAATAACTAGGTAATTTTAATTACAAAAATGTGAGTTAAGCACTGAAAGGGTTAAATGGATGCAAGGACTCACAGAAGCTGTGGTTCAATATAAGCATGCATGTCTGTGGATTAGTAACACCTCAGTCTGAGAGAGCTCTCAGTGTGAGAGAATCCTATATGAGATTGGCCTATCTCGTCCCCTTGGGGAGACAGGGCAGAATACAAATAAAGTTTATTATTGTTGTTGTTGTTAGAAACACAACAAGATGGGTCCTCATCAAAACAAGATCACTCTGCTGGCTGTTGTATTGGATCACGTCGGACACGTGTAACACCTCAGTCTGAGAGAGCTCTCAGTGTGAGAGAATCCTATGTGAGATTGCCCTATCTTGTCCCCTTTAGGAGATAGGGCAGAATACAAATAATGTTTATTATTGTTGTTGTTGTTGTTGTTAGAAACACAACAAGATGGGTCCTCATCAAAACAAGATCACTCTTCTGGCTGTTGTATTGGATCACACGTCGGACACATGTAACATCTCAGTCTGAG